CTTGAAAACAGTCTTGAAGTTCCTGACACTCCATGGCGTGTCAGCGGTCCCGGAATGGGTTTAACCATTCATTTTGACTAGGTTAAAATGGCGAAGAACTCTTCTCGGAAATTATTAATTCTTTGTACAGAAATTTTCTCCAATATATTTTACGGATACTCCAGAATACCTCTAGAATCCGCAGATATAACTGATTGGCAGCAGAGAATACCTTTTGCTTCTCTTTAAAAGGAAAGATGAAAGTGAGAATAAAAAAACGTGAAAGGTCACTTGAGAAACAGCAACCATTACCATCGTATTAAGTTTTTTGATTTCATAATAAAACTTATCAATGGGTTCAGAAAAACTTATTGAATACAGTATCTAAGATGAATCTAAACTTTAAGGTGTTATAATTTTATTTTGATGCAAGTATTCACAAGCTCTTACATTACTGATTGCGGCTCGAAGATATGAATTGAAGCGACATTCCTGACTACATGGAACGTTCACTTGATGCACGTTGGACAAAAGAGCATGGAGAGGAGGAATTGCGGGGGGGGGAGCTGGTCAGCTGCTTAGAAGCGTTTGTAAGCAGCGTCTCAGATAAGGTGGTATCAAACACCCAGTGCACTGACACGCATCATAGATCCTGTATTCACTATATACGATTCAAAAACAGCTCCACAAAATAAATGAATCGATGAATAATAAATTGAAATTTCCATAAATTTCAAATTTTCACATAATTTTTCCCTATTTATTTTTCAATAATTAACTTTTGTCAAGGTGGCGTTCATGAGTCCATTCCCAAATAAGCCCAATTCTGAATAAATTCCGGAATCAATACCAACAGGGAACCCTCTTCGATCTTCGATAAAAGGAGTTTTATGTGAACAACAGAAAATCGATTGACAAAGTTAGAAAAAAAATTTCGAGGCGCTGAGAAAAATGCAAATTATGGAGTATTTCAAGAATAGATATCTAAACCACAGAAGCAATTGACCACTCACCTCGCACGTGACACTCGGCTTTAGATGACACAGGAATGCTATGCTAACTAAACGCTGATTCCCTAACAAAATCGAGATACCACTCCATGTCCCCTTGGCCCAATGGGTGCAAAAGATAACTATAAGAAACCTTCTCGAAATTCAGCGCAGCCAAGGACCCCAAGCGTTAAACACTTTTCATATGCAGACAAATATTTCAGTGTAAAAAATAAATCAATAAATTAATCGCTGGGTTTCTTCTTAGTTTTCTGGCATAGTACAGCGAAGGAGGAACCGCGAGTGCACAGAAAGCTCATTTACGACGCGAGAAAACGGGAAAATGACCTACTGAATTTTCCGCATTTCTCCGATTCGTTTCAAGGACTTCTGGAAGTTAGCCGATCAAAATGTTTTCAGGACGGGAAATGAAGTTGAAATCGAAACAAAAAGGCCACCGAAAAATTCATATTTACGGGAACAGATGTTTTCGCCTAAATGATATTCTTTAAATAGTGGAACTTGGCAGAGTCCTTTGAGGTTACTTTCCACGTTTGTCCCAAGGTGACGGAAAACGAAACAAAGTTACAGTGGAACTACAAAGTGAACGAAGCCGCTAATTAATCCATCTCTTTCTTTAGTATGCGCCACAACCATTATCATCTCGTTAAAGTACCGTGGAATTGAAATGCGATTTAGCCCATGCAGTGAACCGCGAAATAAGCATGTACTAGTCTGTAATTCTAGGGTCCCATACGAGTCTCGTACAAATCAGCCGAACCTGGAGAATGGAAGGCTTGATTGGTCTGCCCAAGGTCCAATCTCCTATTTGGCTCTAAGCGTGCTATTGAGAAGGGTATCACTCTCTGCTACACCACATAACCCATCCTATTCAGGAATCAAAGCTCATTCTGATAAAAATGATTGAACCACCAGGCACCCAACAAAAATTACACTTATGGTTAGCAAAAAAGCAAAAGGAAAATCGACTCACAAAAGTTTCCAAAATGGCTCCTATGAAGGCCAGGTGTGCACAAAATCAATATCAAATGAAACCTAGTTTACGCCATGCGTTTGTTTCGTTCAGCAGCACAACTTCACCTAGTAGAAAAAGTAGGCGCTCGAGATAAAAGGACGATTCCTCCATCCGAGAAAGTGCTTCCGCAACTTCAAAAAAAATCGTGAATGAAGGAAACTCTTGTTGATGGAAGCTGCTAATCGATTTTGGTCGATGGAGAAGAGTCCTTTGGCCTGCAGGTCACATACGCATTCATCACACAGACAGGCTTTTGACGTGGAATGGCATTTTTCTTTAGAATTTATTGCATATTGATTCATTCCACTCACTGGCTCACCTTGTGGTGGATCACGCGATTATTGAAATCATTCTGAAGAAAATCTCTTTCAGAGGTAGAGGTAGGCGAGAAATGAACAACAAAATCAAAAGAAAAAAAGAAGTGGATGGGGAACCTGCTGAATCAATAAGCCCACCACTCACACCCACACAATGCTGAACAAAGAAAGATGGACCACATTCCGAAGTTTTGCAAGTTTATGTCGGTATCTTCCCGAAAGACCAATAAGGTAATCTTGCGAAACAGCTCAGCTGGATAACCACACGGGAGCAGTTTGGGTCCAAAGGCCACTGATAAAAGTCGAACCATGACACCACAAAATATTGGGTTATCTATGTAAGCGGGTGGTCCAACTGTTCAGCCACTAAAAGGAATGTTTTTTCTCTCCTTTAACTGATCGTGAAAAAAGATCAAGAATGGTGGCAGACCGGTTGGCGCGAAAGCTGACTGATTCCACAAAGTGATGGCGATGATTGAGAGGTCAGCGATATGGATGACATCCGGCTGGAGGATAGTAGCGTTGGTGGCTCAGCCGTAACACTCTGGTTACACACACCGTCATGGCCCTGATCCATTAGTCCTGCGGCCTCTATATCTGTGCCTTTCGGATCATACCGCTCTGCTCAGCGCTATTCTCATCCTCACACCATGCCATCAGCTAAATCCCGTCACACCATGTTGGCAGGCAACCAAAACCGCCTTACTCCATGATTGACAACAGCTCATGATTCGTTGGTCCACAATCGATCTTCTTTAGTCCTGGAAGATGTTTCTCATAACCTCGCCGTTATTTTGTTCCATAGAGCGCGGCTTTTAAGCAGAAAGGCTTGAGAAACAAAAAACCAAAAAAAAAAAATGATAGAAGCGTGAGTTCACTGTGTCTTAATGAATTCTTATTTGCTCAGTAAAGGTTTGCAGAACTGATCAAATGCGTCAAGGGAATCTTTTAACGTCTATAAGATAACCTACTGTACATTAAACTCCCCTTTCAAAAAGCGAGAAAGTGTCGAGATGCAAGACCAAACACCATTGAACTGACGCACATCAAGTAAAACCTGGTAAGAAATTGTACGCATATTGATAGGGCTGATTTCTGGTAAACGATAGTTGTAAAATTAATGATATTGAAAGAATAACCGCAATAGGCCTAAATCATTTTCAATCGGCAGAAAACATTAAAAACCATTTTGTGGAAGCTGCGCGGCGTCACTTGTGGTGCACCGGCTCTGCCCGACACTTTCTCGCTTTTTGAAGATTAGGTGGACTGACATACCAAAAGACTAAGATTTCAGCGCCAATGTTAAACCTTACCATTAGCAGTCAGCCATCCAACACAGCAGCAAAAGGCATAAACCGCCTTTGGAATTGTGACGTATTGAAGAGAGCATATCAACGGCCACATGAGCACGATGTTGGGAGCGGGGGCAGTTCGATGACGTCATTTGTTATTTACTGGACATTTGAGTACGTCCCAACTATGCATTCTCCGAGGCGACCCGAGAGTGCAAACAGTTAGGACGTCCTCCAAAGTAGCCGGAAAGTGCTTCAGCCATCGTGTTGACTACCTTCACGTGACTTAAGCCGAGCCTTCGGGTAACCATATCATTGAACACTAAGATACCTTGTAATTCACGAACTCCAGTCATTCTCCGACTACGAGCTACTGGTGCTCAATTCGGGTAGAAAGAGGTGAGTTGACATGATGTTAAAGTCCTAGCTCTCTTCATAGCTCTTATTATTACAATGCCGCTGACGATGAGTACTTGAGAGCAATGACTTTATGAAAGATCCACTTGCTGTCCCCTTTGAGATACACTGCCACAAATCTGTGAGCTTGGTACTGCGCTTTACATGCCACAAAAGAATTTTCACGGCTACGTTCCCTCTAACATCTAATACTCCACCACTCGTTCACTCTTGCAGACTCACCGTGGCAATCTCAACTCGGCCAATTTTCTAGACGCAGCAACAACCCAAGAGGTGACAAGAAATGTTTACTATGGACATATACATTTTTTATAATTTTTTTTTCAGAAAAAAACCAACAACTAAAAGTTCAGATTCAAAAAAAAACAACTAAAATTTGAAAAGTGTAACAAGAGCAAAAAGGAACAGATTTCGAAAAGTAGACCAAAAATAGGCGATAAAAAATTCGAAATGTACAGAAAGTTGAAAAATAAAAGCTGACAATCTGATCAGTCGATGCGAAAACAACAAGGACTCCACATCTTCAAAAGAAAAAGAGCATGCGAGAAGTTAACCACACCCTGGCCTTACCAAAAATTCGGAAGACAGAAAACCTCTACAAAGCACAAAAAAACTTCCCATCTTCCCTGTTCTCTGCGCTTTTGCGTGAAATTTTTTCCGCTCTTTGCCGTTCTCACGCCACTCACTCATTCAACAGAATCAGAATAAAGCGAGAACAACAGGAAGACTGCGAAGATCTTCTGCACCTAATTTGAAAAAATCTATAAAGTAAAGAGTAAAACAGCTTCGTAACCTGTACCATCTAATCTGAGATCTTGGAACTAAAACTACACATAATTGAGAGAGAGATCAAGAAACTGGGGAGATGTTGAACCATGTCTTAACATTTGTTGAAGACTAATAAGTGGTTTTCACCGAACAACTTCAATCAAACCGTAAAATTGCCATCAGAAGAGCAGCTGTCAGAGCCTTAGACAATCGACACACCCTTGATCTGCTCCAAGAGTCGAGTACTGGGAGCATTTTTCGATATCAGAAGAACACCGCAAATTACAGAGTGACCCTTAGAGTCAGCAATAGCATATGCAGTGCGATCTGTAACAGCAGAGCATGGAAACGTCATAAACCTAGGCTCAAATGGCTATCACTCTTCTACAAAAAAGCAAACACAAATCAATTGACGTCAGTAGGAACTCTTTTCCATGATTAGGGTCCTATCCATGGAGCCCATTCAATTCAAAATGAAGCCTACAAAATAAAATCTACTCCCTGCACAGAAGCTCCCACACCAAAGGCTCCGTAGTAATTGTAAATGGGTCGATAGTTGCTACGCTTATTGTACAGTGTAAATATAACTGCTGACGCCACTGCTTGAAACAGTAGCTGATAATCTTTGAAAAAAAAACTAACCAAACGCATCTCTGACGTCCACGTCGCAGTTATTGCGCAGTAAAGCGACGAGTGCTTCCACATTCGCGTCCTTTGCAGCGAGATGGATTGGAGCATCACCCTGAAATGAAGTATCTTTCTTAGTCTGAGATACCAAGAAATATGATCGCGAATAGCTCCATTCGTATGCAGCCATTTATTAGGAGGATAAAGCTTTTGTCATTAGCAGTACGACTGCAAACATAATGAGGATTTTAGCAGCAAGCCTTTGAAACCCTAACATCATTTTCTCGAGGGAAATAAAGAAAAACGAAAAAAAAGAGAAAAAGGAGAAGACTATTTGGAAACTCTCAATGCAGTAGTTGACTATATGGCACCTCCACAGTAAATTTCCAACTAATCGTAAGCCGCTTGCGACAGCGTGTTTGCCGCGAGGTAGGCCTCCTGTTCAGACACCCGACTTACCTACTTACCACGCTATTCACTATCTGTGAAACAATTAGCATCTTGTACACATAAAAAAGCACATCCAGAAATGGAGGAAGTAAAAGAAACATACATTATCATCGATCAAGTTCACATTTGCGCCACATGCCGCAAAATAGTTAACTAGATGTGCAGCATTACAGAGTGCAGCGTAATGAATTACATTTCGACCCTGAAAAAAAGAAACACGACATGTGCCAATAAACCTTATCCAGCGATATTTCAGAATACGTTTCCGAGTTTACGGCCGATATCAAGAGAGAACTATCTATGTTACTTCAATAAATTTAAGTCTACATCAATAGCAACTATGCTTCCCATGAAGACGGATATAATGAAGAATATTCCCAAAAAAATTACTGGGTAAGTACCAAGCAACAGTTGAAAGAGAAACACAATCTCACCATAGCATCTGTGAGTGCATACTTTGCATCAGCTTCATCGTGGAGAGGGAGCATTTTCAACAAATCTTTCCTGAATGAATCAGAGGGCATATTTATACACACCGAAGCGTGGACACAATCAAAGAATACAATAAACTCCAAGGAATGATTTCCGATATCATCTTAACTATAACCGTAAATTAAATATTTTACAATCTACTTCGCTTGAAAAAAATCGAGCATGTGACCTTTATAACGACTTTCCGACCACATCACAATGAACTAGTATGAGATCACATTCGGCGAGGTTTGGATGGCTTCAGAGGAAGGTACCACTCACCCGAAATTTTCACTATTGCTCAGCCAAAGCTATTCAAAACTCGAAAAGACCCTACGACTAGAATGAGGAGACCTAGAAGTAGAAGCTTCTATGCTCAGCTAGAGATTCCGCACTTGCACACCTAATATGTATAGAGCACGTTAGCTTCTGTATAGAGCACGTTAGAAAGGTTAGGATCGTATCTGAACCTAACGAAGAAGAAAGGAATTGCATTTGCACCTCCCACTGATGCTGATTTGAAGGAGCACTGTTTGATGCGCAAGCTGTGTGTACCAGGTTAGAACAGAAAATGCCGCCCTAGCTGGGTGCCAAAACTAGCCCGGCTCCACAAGTGCCTCTTCGAACGTGCTTGTTTCTACATGCCTCAAAAATCAAATAGTAGGTTAGGTATGCAGTTCGTGCTATGTCTCGAGGATGGTGTTGGGAAGCACCGTCCCGTAGAATTCGAATAGAATTCGGGATAACGCGCTCGATCAATGATGAAAATCAGGTGAGCCAAAAAACCACATTTTCCAACATGACAGCAGATCAGGAAGTCGAACGTCATCTCGCGATCCGGGTGATTGTAGCGGTGACGGACTAAATCAGTCAGGATATAAATTACACCCGAGATGATCGCCCATCCGATAGCTGCAATTGAGCTACAACTATGGACGGATGAAAAGAATCCAGAGATGTGCCAAGCAACGCGAAGAGAGTAAGCCCCACGTGCTCTACGCCTTCGCCTTCTTTCTAATATCAATCAGTAATTTGTCACTGAATTATTCAATAATAAATTTGCTGTCTTATACGGCCGATAACGCGACAGATCAAGATTATCCAGAATAAATTTTCAAAATAAATTGATCTTAATAGTGAAATTATTCGTTGAGTGAATGGATGAACTATTTTCTTGGATAGCTATTTTTCGGATCTTAATATTATTGTTTTTGATTTTATCAAAATTTTATTACTTGTATTTATTTCAGAATTTTTTTCAAAGGGGTGGATTCAAAGAGTAATTTGGTCCCCCGCACGTGCCCGTTACAAACCTGTCCTTCTGAAGATCCTCAAAATGTTTCGACAACACATCGTCATGACGCCGTTTACGGATGATATCAATTGCCGAAACTAGCAATGACACGCACTCCAATCCAGGATGAGCAATACGAGCCGCAAACAGGAGTGGAGACTGACCAGCCACACTTTTTTCGAATAGCTGAAAACAGTTTGCAGTAGTAACCCTACAACTGACAAACAGAATACTTTATGCCCTAGGTATTAACCTACCTGATCACCTGTACAGTAGTCTTATTGTTACTTATTGCATTTCTGTCCCGCTCTCACAGCAATCCGCTATTCTATATACCTTATCTAATGAAAGCGCTACCAACTCACGTCCAGTTGTCCGCAGTTGATTAAAAGTTGAAGCATTTTTGCATCATTGTTGGCCACTGCATGGTGTAGAGGACCAAGCCCATTCTCATCCACATGAAAAAAAGCAGCTCCGTTGAAAATGGAAAAATTTGCGCATTTTATTCGGCAGTCACAAAGCAACAACCGACTCCAGCCACGTGTACTTCGTTAAAGGAAGTGATTACGAAAAGATGGAGCTCTTCGGAGAAGCATATGCATCACACGAAGCAGTAGCCTAGCTGCATAAGCATGGTGTGACGCTTCCAAGACAAAAGGTGCTCTGATTGCTGAGCAGCAATAGTGATTCGGACGAGCGTGGTGTCGGCAGCAACTCAACTGGAGCAACTCGACTGGCATGAGCTGACATGGTGCCACCAAACGTGTTGCGGTAAACTCGCTCATACGTCCGCCTTCTTGACCACTGCTCGCCCTCAGAGAGAAAACGAAGGGCCACAGAATGGGATTCCGTTTTGCGTTACCTAGACGGTTCTTTTTCTACTTTTTTCGCTACTGGTTACCACCGAGCACACCCCTACCTCCTATAAAATAAGTACCAGAATTCACAATCTGTATAGCAACCGCAGTTGCGAGTGGGGTAGGGTGCGCGCCGATGGGGCGGAGCGCCCTATGCGAAGTATACGGTTCAATAAAGACCCGCCCCTTTCGCGATTGCGTTTTCGCGCGTAATTGCGGAGTCTGGGACTTACGCTGAATGCGAAGGGGGCCGGACGCAGATTCCTATTGGTGAGCAGCTGGTTTTGCCACATCGCCTCAAACACAACTTCGAAAAATTACAACGCGAGATGAACTGCATACGGCAGCCAGGAGAACTGAGTTGAAGGAACGGTCGGCCGTCCAATTAATAGGTAACTGCGATAATGGTGTCCAAAGACGGCTGATAGGGCCATCTGAACACACAATGAAAAAGGTGATGACGCTAGAGAAAAAAAGCGCTTGGATTTCCGCTAAGAATTGTAAAGCTGGATTAAGGATACACATCACGGCAATACATCGTACTCATAACTTTGCGACTGATTGGCAATACATGATTGTGCTGATGAACTCACTGCGTCCACGAAAGTCTCATTGCTTGAAATCATCTCCTTCACTTTCTTATGATCGCCCCGACGGACAGCCATCAGAAGAGGTGACTTTGCTGAAAAGCGCTGCAACCCTTCTTAGCTACAAACTAATTTCAAGACGAACACTCTGACAACATGTAACTGAAGTGAGTTCCCTACAACTTAAATCAACATACCATCCACAATCGGAGCGATAGAAGCTGTGACATCCTGAAACAGCTATTTGTCGGAGTCCATCATTGGTACTGCTGCTCATACTATTTGACTGCTTTACTCGGAGCAAAACGAATTCCAAGAAACCAGAAGGCTCAAAGTTCAAAAACTGTATTTGAAAACCGATGTGACTCACATTCTGCTCAAGTTCTTTATCACTCATATTATTGTTCTTTTTGCTATCGCCACGGTTAGTTGCAGTATGCTCTGGAGAGCAGGAGTACGGTGGAGTTGGAGGGTGGTAAAGGCAGTTTCCTGAGCCTGGAAACAGTTTAATATAAGCTTGAAAATTTTGTGCCACTTCTTGAAATATCACTATAATCTTTCTACGGTAGGAATCAAGAAGGAGTGAATTGTTCAGTTGCTGTGAAATAATTGATTAAACAAAAACCTTGATTACTTTTTCTGGAGAATGATTGAACCTTTGCTCGCTTTGCATTGTTAAGTTCTAAGGCCTTTTAAGCAAGCCTTTCCAAGAAATAAACACCAACAAAAACGCGTGACTGTTCGGCTTCAAGAGGCATCGATTTATTTTTGATTTTTAATTTCATTTGGACGAAACGAGCGTCACTGGAAAAGGTAAAGGCGTGAAAATTTGTGATCATATTTTGCTCTAAACTTAGTATTAAACATTATTGTATATTTTCACTAAAGCAAAGCAAGAGCAACTAAAGCTTTCCAAGAAATAAACACCAACAAAAACGCGTGACTGTTCGGCTTCAAGAGGCATCGATTTATTTTTGATTTTATTTCATTTTGGACCGAAACGAGCGTCAACTGGAAAAGGTGAAGCGTGAAAAATTTGTGGATCATATTTGCCTCTAAAACATAGTATGTAAACATTATTGTATATTTTTCACTAAAAGCAAAGCAAGGGCAACAAATTCAACACCGAAACCTAACAAGAGAACTGTATGAGGATTCAGGAAACCACTGAGATCTCTCTCATGCCTATGACTTTATGGTTGCATTATAAAAGAACATTTCGTATCTAGCATCATTCCTTGTGAGAAACCTTACTGGGAATTTTCCAACAGGGAGCGAATATAGCTGTTTGCCTTCTTCTTCTTGCTCGTACTATTGCTACAACTATTCCAGAACACAACGTGAGTATGATAATCAAGACTACGATGCACACTATAATGAAAACCACTGGTGGAGTTAACATGGGAAGTTCCTCCATCTGAAAACTAACAACAATAATAATCGGAGATATTGCATCATCGTTTCAGGAAGAACCACCTGCTTCTTTCTCCATGAAACGTCACGAATCGGCAACGTCTCTCCACCTGATGGCCCTTTACGTGCCAGCTCCAACGTCAGATATGTGGCGGCAGCACGAAGATCGGTAAAACAACGTGGCTGTTTGTGACCCTTGCGACGTTGAATGCGACAAGCTGAGGTGTCAACGTCGAAGAAAACCATTGTGCCGTTCATGTTCATATCGACATTACTGGAAAGAAAAATTTTGGTGCGACCTGATGCAGCACAAACCCAGAAACTATAAAGTACCAATTACTTGAGCTGAAATCACGATTGGGAGACGGTCAAGAAGCAACTCTTATAAAGTGGAAAATTAGGAGAAAGGCAAACTGAACACAACAGTACGAGAAGTAATGTAGCAATAATTTGTGAACCCTAGTGTTGGCCAGTCGCGTAACAAAAACCATTGTAACAGAAAGAACGCCCTGTTAAGACGGGCAAGTTTTTCTTATTTAAATTATAAATATATTTTTGTAAACCGGAACAGGTCACAGGTGGAGATGGAGAAAAATAATGAGCACTCGCTTCTCGAAAAGGCAAAAAGAAAGACAAAGGTGAAACTGGAAAAGCAGAGGTATTCATTACCTTGCAACAACCTCCTCATCAATAACAGTGATGCGGTTCCCTTGTCCAGTTTCTGTGCCCCACTCAAACACCATGATACCGTCCATATCTTCAGCCAAGCTCACATGGGTGTAGAGACGCTAGAAATCAAAATAGAAAGCCACTTTGTTAACAATGTGCATGTTCACGTGGTAGTCGCTTAAGACCGCGACTTCTGACGCAAACAATTTTCACTCATTTGTAAAACATCGCCTAATAAGACAGTTTTTCATCCGATTTTTGAAATCACCAATAATAATACATATAAAATATCAGAGCTCGAAACTGCTTGCATGTTACAATTCCATGCTCTCGTATCGCATCTTGTCATAAATATAAATGAGAGTCGGGAATGGATCTTGAATTTGGAGGTGAGGGAGTAACAAAAACTCCGGACAGTCATATAGATACAGAAGATTTTTGATATAAATCAGGCCATTTCCTATGCCCCAAAACCATGGAAAACTGGAGAAATTCTAGTCAGCGATTTCTTTATTTAACAAGCAAAACCACCACGAAAATGCCATCCAGCTAAATGCCATATGAACTTGTATGAATGAGCTATTATCCTAGCACTTTCGTTGATCGTGTTTAACGTAGATATTATAAAGATTGATAAGTACTAGACTATTGAAAATGTATTAACTGCGTTGAGAAAAAAAGTTACCTAATACTGGATAAACATTGCCCCACACGGCAGTCAAAGCGTCATTTACTGTTGCGTGACATTGTCGTCGGAGTGTTATATTAAGGGTTCTACATAGCGGGTACACGGAGCGTAATTTGTTTCATCACGGAACCCCGTAATGGCAAATACCTGCGCCAGTTCTGCTTGCAGCTGCCGTAAGTTCTTAATTGCAGTGTCGGGTGGAACTCCTACAGCCACACCGATCATGTTAGCATCGGTGCTGTACGACGTTCCGTTCTTTCCCTGAAGCGAGAGAACCTTAAAATTTTGTGATTGAGTTCCCGTGTCAGTATGTGCACTCTGAAATTGGCCACCAATAGCGTAAAGCTTAAAAAGCTCATTTCGAGTCGTAGTCGTTATTACCAAAAACGAAAAGAAAAGTACCTACCTCGCAGTCACCGCCATCATAACCACATTCTGGACCCGCGCATTCCTCGTCACAGTTACTATCGCCATACTTGTAAGCGCATTCGGAAGGATGCCTCAAAACCATCGGAAAGAGATGCATGAAATAATTTCCTTCTAGTGGCGATGCCTGGCCCCAGCCCACGGGAAAAATACACCGACTGGGAAGGCTAGAATTACGTTTCACTTTGAGCTTCGATTCATTGTCCACTACAACAAATTTCTTAAGACTGTTACCGCACAACAATTGTTTGAAAAGCCACTTCTGACTGCATTCGCGCGCTAGCATCGCAGCAACAGTATAAACACAAGGCGATATGAACCTCTCGTTCCCTAATTCTCGTCCTTAGAGAATCAACTTACGAAGATTGCCGTGGGCGTGAACGCCGTGGTTATGGTGAGTTAGTACTGAATGTCCTAACTGCCCACCTACAGATAGCTCCTTCTGTTTTAGCACAATCGAAACCATCGAAAAGACACGATTCACGATTGCAAATTTCGTCGCAGTGCCCGTCGTCAAAAACTTTTGCACATACTTCAGGCCGTACCGGGCAACCTAGATTTTCGAAAAAACACTCATTTTGCAAGTATGTTAGAAACATTTAATGTTTGCGACGAAACGTTAGAATCTGAAAAGAATAGTTCCAAGGCAATAAGAAAGTACTACAATCCTAGAAGTGGTAAACTTACCAAATTCTTCGTACTCCTCCAAGCGTGGTACACGATGAGCGCAGCGTGGTCCACCAAATCCTAGAACTCAGGATAAAGGAGAAATAAAATCGCAACTCCGAACATGCAGAACAGAAAAATATCAGTTCTGAAAGGACAACGGCGTAGCTGAGAAAGATGGGCGAAGATTAAAACCACAACCACATCTGCTAACCGTTTTGACACATGCAAACGTATCGTGCCTCGCAAACGCCACCATTATAGCAATAATTTGAGCCCTGCAAACGTCAAGATGATAGCGATTGCGATCTCAGTAGGACTCTATGCAAAAGGGTTAACGTTAGACGAACTGATTCATTGTGCACTTTACAAAGGTCGACTTCACGGTCACAGAGATCGCCAGTGTAACCTTCGGGGCAGATGCAAGAATATCCTCTGAAATAATGTCTATCAGAAAGAATCGAAGATCCGGTGAAACCTGATTCCCATCCAAGCTTATTATCTTACTTGTCTTTGCTATCTTTCGGGATAAGATTAACGCAAGTTGCATAAGCTGGGCACACTTTCAACGCACATTCATCTTTATCAAGCTCACAGTATTGCCCCTGAAAAAAAGTACGTCAGTACCTCGGAACATAACTATTGGAAGAATCCATGGTAAGGCAGAAGGTTGCGAAGGAGAAATTCACCTAGTTGAAAGACAGGCGGACCCCTTAGGGTGCTTATCTACACACAATTCGTACCGAACGTCATGCTTCCGACGACCTAGCACGGCCCTCTTTGCGGCGCTATCGGCGCGACACGCCGAGCTAACCACTCGCCGCGGGTCTGTAGGCGTTTAGCAGAGAGAGCGTTATCGTTGAAGAGGGCAGCATCGATGAGAGTCGCATCAGTGCGGAAATCAACGGGCAAGGAAGGGATCCCATACCTCGGGTACTGGGCCGTCTTATGGTTTTTCTTCATAGCAGCACCACTTACCACCTCTACTTTTACTCTAATGGGCTCCTTTTAGTTGCAAACTCCATCTTCAACATACTTGGCTAATCTACTTGGTTTATATTAATTGCGAAGGATTTCTTTCCTTCGTCTTCGACCAAAAAGCAAATAATTCACCTCAAATCGGTAGTCACATCTGCAGGCATGCCGTCCTTCTTCATCTGTTAGGCAGAATCCGTGTTTACATGGCTGATCGGGACATGAAATTGCTTCGATTTCACACATATCACCTGTAATGAAGATAAAACAGATTTTGAAAGGAAAACAAATTTAATATAATTCAATACTTATGAAGAAGTGTTAGGTAGAAAGTTCCATGGATTCATAAAGTAGGAATGGAGCCAACGAAAATATGTAGACAAATACCTGACCATCCCGTCTTACAGATGCAGTCTCCATTTTCATCACAAGTGCCGTTGTTGTGGCAGAGGAAGTCTTTCGGACAGCGGAGTAGCCCTCTGTCGCCAAGAGCAACACTCCATAAAATCAAGGGAAATGTAACACAGAACATTCTGAAAAGCGACGCTGCTCTCCTACAAGTTTCCTCAATATGTGCAGATATGAAATGACGGCTGTGGTTCACTAGGACAGAAAGCCATTGTTTCACCTTTCGCACGCGAAACGCGAAAAAGTCGGTTACAAGGCTTCTGTCATCCGGAGGGTGAGAGCGTAGCTGGAAAAGCACACACTTTGTGTCTTATTGGGACTGAGTCTTTTGAAGAGGACAAAGAAAGAGGAGATGCCGTGATAGCGTGCACTTGTGAGAGCTCCCAGACATCACTACAGAACCGACTGAACCGAGCCGAAAGGCTCACGTTGACAAATGTCTGAAACCAAAAAATGTCCGCTTTCTGTTCTAGTCGAACCACACTCTGAAATTAAACATGGCACTTGCATTGAACTCTCACAAAAATAGCAGAAATTAGCACCAAAGTTCGAATGGAATCCCAGGGTCTATTCCAGATTAGGGGGGGCGATCAGTGGTGCGGTGACTTCCGAAAAAAAAGCTACGATGCTTTCTAGTTCGCATCGGGATGCGGTCGAAGTGTTAAAGCGCGTCAAACAACACGCGCTACTGGCGCAATTCGACGCCGAGCGCTGCGCGCAGAATGGGGCGCTAAGAATGTCGAATAACCTTGGTTTTTGCAGGTATTTCTTGTCTTGTACTTATTTTTTCGATGTTTTTTTGCAACTCACCTATCATCGAAATAAACAAATTGAGCGGCGAATGTGCCCTCGGGGGGGGGGGCCAGTCGCCGCGCGCGGCTGTGCGGCCAACAGGAATTTCGATGAGACCAGGGGGAGCTGTAGGCCAATTCAGGTGGGTTTGGGGGTGAAGGGCAAGGTCACATGACAATGCGTGAGAAGCTGGAATTTCGAATTTCCTGTCTGCCAATGCAAGCCGCGCGCGGGCGAACTGCCGCCCCCCCCCCCCCCCCGAGGCACATAGCGCCAAAATTGCTTACGATCAACCGAGATGCACAGGACGCAGCCGGGCCGATTGATAGACCTTCGCGCAGTGCAGCGAGGATAAGTCGCCATTGATAAGGCGGCATGGGCAGCCCGGTAGGCCACTCCACCCGAGTTTCGTAGCGACGGGTTCACGACGTCGCCTCGCTCGCGCGGAAACAATCTGGAAAGTATTAATAAAGAGTCATAAAAGGGCACAATGTGGCCGACGGGGGGGGGACAGCCGTCGCGCGGCGTTATTGTGGCAGCAGGAAACTCGCAAGCAGGGGTGTGGCCATTCAAGGGGGTGAGGTGCAGTCACTTAGCTCGTGAGAAGCTGAATGTCGCCGTGAAAAAGAGCTGAAAATGTTTCGAGTTACCAAACTACATCGCTGAGCCAGCGCACACGACTTCTCTCCCCCCCCCCCCCCCCGAGCCACCATTAGCGCCCATAAAAAGAATAATTAAGTATGAACGAGGAAAACACGAATTAAAAAAAAAACGAAACGCGCAGAAAAAAAATCGAAAAGCACAAGAAATACACCAAAACCAAGATTAATCCGATTGCGAGCGCGCGAAGTTGCGCCCAAACGTACGCGTCATCGCCAGAGCGGCGTATTGACGCTGCTTCACACTAGTCGTGCGAGTCCCGGCGCCCGACGGACGCCGTCGCACCTGACGCGCACCGGCGAAGCTATGAAAAGCACCTACGGTAACTCTGAGCCAGGGGAGTGTAGCCAAGCCTAGGGGGGGGGGAGTGAGGCACTCACTTGACATGCGTGAGAAGCTGGAATGTCGAGTTTAGCATTAACTCGCCGACGAAACTGCCATCATGATGCCCCCCCCCTAACTGGAATAGACCCGAAATCCGCCATATGATTGAATAAAAATGGCGCTATTCAACTATTACAAACCCAAAATCTTAAAAATTTTACTTTTCGTCCGAAATTTTACACATTGAGTAATTCGGTGCCCTGATTACAAGAATGACATTCATTTTTCAACGAACGCCTCATCTGGCGCACAAGTGGCGTCACCTTGTCAAGAAGTTGTTTTCACCAAATTCGATGTGAACTCCTGGTAAGGGTAGTTTGGTGTCCTGATTACGAACATGACATTCCTTCTTGGCGCTATGCTCCATTTTGGCGCTTATTCCGTTGGTCGCGCCCTCTTAGTAATCGTAAAAAAGTTAATCGCGATCAAGACTAAGCTTTAGGGGAGAGACGGCTACGAGTAAGTAAAGCCACCCACCCTGTGATCTCACACGCTCATATTTGTGCACACAGGTGCCCCGATTTACCATCCCGGGTCTCCCATCCCCTAAGCTTAGTCCCAGATGAATGATGCTATAAGTGAGAAAGCACCGGAAAGCGGGAACTATGCGGTAAACAGCGCTAAAATGTTAACAAAGAATGTCATATTCGTTAATCGGGGACAATCAATAACCCTTGCAGAAACTTTACACCGAATTAGGGGAAACATGTGTCGTGACAAGGTGACGGCAAACTGCGTCAGATGGCGCCACTGCTAATGAATGTCTTTTTGTAATCAAGGCACTGAATTACCACTAAAGTGTAAGATTTCGATTGAAAATAACTCGAAATCAATAAAACTCTAATACATTGTATAGTGCAAATTGCTACCGTCCACTATCTAGAAATGAGAGCAGTTGAGAAGAACATCGTGAAGAAACAGCTTGGCAGGGTTCATAGCTCAAATCCTTGAGAGATTTGACGAGATTTCGTTGAAAGCGAAACAATGTTCACTACGTTCTGTGCTGGAGACTCGCCGATCTAGCGGTTCTCGCGGAAAACTGGATGGGAATCGATCGGATTGACTCTTCCCCATGAGCGTTTTGCGCGACCCAGCAGTACAAATTTTCCGATCGATACCTAATCATTCCTATGAGCGGGATCTCCGAATCTCCTAAAACGTGAGCTATAAACGCTGTCTACTAGATTGGGTTCACCGATCGCGGCACGCGTCCAACCGCAGCGCAAACGCGACGCGATCACTCCGAGATCACATGCATGATCTCCCAGCTTTGAAATAGGTTCAGGATTGCGAACCGTTGAGAATCGCCAGAGGATAAACAAATTTGAGTACCACGTTGAAGACCCAGTCGTCGACTATAAACGCTGGAAGGACCTTCTGAATAATAGATATCCAATAGCATCGACAAAATGAGTAGACCAGAAATACCTTGATCGCAAAGGAAACCTGCGCCATTAGAGAACGTCAGGAGGGAGAAGTTGGCTTAATTGGTACGTGTCTGAATCTATTCGTAGGTTATCCCATTTGTTGAGATAGATGGCAATGAACAACATCCGAGCAATAGCTGAAAAGAACCGGGCCGTATGGAGAACAAGGCAGGCCACGCGTCGCGCTAGCCGCGGACAGCAGGAGTTGGGCAAAGATAGACAAAAGATCCCACCCAAACGGCTCACCCACTCTAGTTCCTCCCTATTCCAAGGCCTTAGAGCTCTCACCTCCCTCCTTGTGATTTGCAGCCGAGCCAGGTGCCCTTCTTTATTATCTAGCTCTCCGCCATCCGTGGCAGGACCTTAAAAGAGAAAGTTGGAGTAACTCGTGAACCTGGAGCCGTATTCAATCCTTCCCCCAGGGGGAAGCATCCCTCTCCTCTGGGGCGGTATTCGATCCCTCCCCCAGGGAGATGTATCCCAATTCCCATTCCCCAATCCCCCTCTGATTCAGTCCTCTTGGGGGACAAAAAAGGGTTGCTCATAGGACCTACGCATACCTCTGGTGTTTCTACACTGCCAGACAATAATAGGCAGCGCGACCCTTCAAAGGAAAGATGCTTCACAGTAAGATATTCAGGGAACATCCCCCAGCGGAAGGATGAATAGCGCCCGATCATTCCTACTGGGGAAAAAAAATGGTTGCGTCATAGGACCCATACTCGTGTTTCTATCTGTGCAACAAAGCAGCGCGACTTACCCCCAACATTGAAGCACTCCTTCCCCTGAGGAGTATGAATGTGCTCTAACTGTCTGGCGAGAGCGAAACACAGAGGGTGTGTGTTCTATGACGGCACCTCTTTTTTCCCATTGGAGAACTGAATCAAGGAGGGGTCGCATCCCTGGGAAGGATTGAACGCCCCTGGGCGAGGTGGGAGGGGACGCGAGGCGGAGCAGACATGGAGGACACGCGGCTGCGCGGCGCCGCTTACTTGCTTGGCGTTCTCTCAACCGTGGCAACTAACAAAGCCTGAGCCAAGAGAGATCAATGAAGCTAATTATCTCTACTGATGGATAATCCCCATCGCCGCCGCCGACGGCAGTTCGAAAACACGGTGGCCCTCCAGATTTAAGCCTTGGAGAACAACAGGACACGGCGACAAAAAAAAAAATAGCACTTGGCGACGGACCCGCGGCCGCCGCATGCCCCCCTCAACTACGCTAGCATGTGTCCTAATGTGATTCTCTTATTGTAGTAATTGTATTGCTTCTATTTGTCTCTAGAAATATTACAATTCCGATAACTTGCGTGATACCCTTGCTTATTTGTCCTGATCGTGTCCTGATCGTGACATCAGTGATCGTGCTATGATAACTGTATCAACACGCTATTTACCACTGAGCTCACCATCAGTCATTCAATCATCTTCCGTTCCGGCGTGAGGTGGAGTCTCATCACTCACAACTTTCTCTGTCTTTACAGTTGGGTAAGTCCGACTACCTTCGAGGTTGAAGTGCTATGAATGTTTTGTTCAGTCTAGGCTTAGGGAGTTCTCTGCCACACTGCGGTAGTATTTTAGAGGCGAAAGAAAACAGCCACTGAAGATCGATCTGCAACGAAAGCATGGAAGCTGCTGTTGAACTGGAACCCCAGTTCAACGATTTGATGTTGGATCGCACACAGGTGATTTTACGGTTTGGAGAGAAACCTCTGATGTCATGTAACCCTCGTCGATTCACAGCGTAAAAGGCGATGTTCCTTTGGAAGGGGGTTGAAGGCAGTGATAGCTGGAGGTGGTGCGGTTTTGGTGTCGTCATCGGTGAATTAAGCCTCATTGCGTGGGGAATATCTTTGGAAGGG